AGTTGAGACAGCATTGAACCATCTTCTGGTTCATAAGTGGCTAGTACTTGTCCAGGAATGGGGTGTGATCGTTCAAAGTATAAAAATAAACTTGTAAGACGATACGATGGTGTTGAAGAGCAACAACGACCTAATTCACGCACTACATTCCACGGAACACCCAGACATTGAAGAAGAACTGCGTTTGTCATTAAATTTCGTAGTAAATTTACATAAATGACTGTTTGTGTGTCATCAGCATCAATCACTTGAAGATGTAGAGAACGAAGATGCAGAGGAAAATAAGATTTATGTTGCATAAAGTTCTATCACAAGACAATGAAAATAAATAAAAAATTATTTTATTAAATAAATTAACGTCTTACCGATGCAGAAAATCCAGTTGGTGACGTGTACCAATACCATTTTAAATGATACACACGAGAGAGAATTTTTAAACTATGTTCAACAGTATCTGATGAATGTAAATTAATGCTGTCAATATGACTATTTCTACACAACCATACCATATGTTCGACATTTGCTTGTCGATTATGATCGATCGTACGTGCAACAAATCGATGATTTACCAAGATACGCTCATTTTGTAAATCACATGGATAAGTATAGACGACTAATATTGTAGAAGACAAATGTTCTTCAACGATATGGCGTACGCCCCATCCTCTTGCAAGCCAATCGCTAGTGTTAAAAACTACGTCACCGAACTCGGTCGTTTCATATTCATAACGTAATAGTATAGGCAGACATAAAGAGAAACGGAAATATTTCAATGAGGTCCACAGAGAACTTGAATCTACAGCTTGTCGAAATTCGATCAGTTGATTCAATACTAAAATAATATTCGGTTTTCACATTAAAAATTCAATACTACAAATAAAGAACATTTTAATATGACTTTACTTACAAGAAGTCTGCACATGAATTAATGTTAATGATTTTAGATTGGGCATTTTCAAATAACGAATAATTAATAAGACATTGTTCATCGAAAAATCACTTTGATCACTACCACATAATGTAAGTGTATGTAAGTGCATTACATTCATTGTTACTAAATGTGATTTAGTCAATATGTTCTTGTCTTGGTAAAAATCTTCTAAATTACGAACAGTTGAATTATCACCTTCAAATGTTACAGTTAAATGTTCAAGACAAGGCGTTACACTTTCTTTTAATATAAGTAACAGTTCTGTGAAGCATTTAAGAGATAAAGTTAAATTGACAGTGCGTGAAAAGCAGGGCTGTCGTCCAGAAACACCGATTAAAACATACAAGCTTCCGTGGTCTCCCTCTTCCCACATTTTCATTCCTATTCGTAGAAAAAAATTTAAATAAATTATACATTATATCAATTAGTTTTTTTATTGCACGTGTAAATAAGTCAACTAAACACCTGTTGCTTCTAATTCTAATACTATATCATAGATAATTTGTAGAATAAACATATAAAACGTAATTAAAAGTTTTAGTTTATGAAACTATGAAGCTGAGCACACAGACAATGTGATAAACATATCGAAATCATTAATATCATAAGTCAACAAATTAAAGAAAGTATCATTCGAAATACACTTTGTCTCTGTTTAGAAATTATTCAGACATATTTTCAGGTATGATGAGATACTCAACTGAATGACTCATCTCAATGGCGAAAGAAATTTATGCTTTTTTTATTATCATACATACCGTCAGTTACCTGAAAGATCATTGTATGACATGATGCTTGTAAGAAGATGAGATCATAAAGAACTGTAACATACCAATAGTCAGCATTGTCACAAATCAATGTAAATTTGTCGAGTTGTCCAATGATATTAGTGCCAA